TGTGTCACAGTGATAACAGTGTGTCACAGTGATAACACTGTGTCACAGTGATAACAGTGATAACAGTGTGTCACAGTGATAACAGTGTGTCACAGTGTGTCACAGTGATAACAGTGTGTCACAGTGATAACAGTGTGTCACAGTGATAACAGTGTGTCACAGTGATAACAGTGTGTCACAGTGATAACAGTGTGTCACAGTGATAACAGTGTGTCACAGTGATAACACTGTGTCACAGTGATAACAGTGATAACAGTGTGTCACAGTGATTGTAGGAGGCGTCTGCAGTGAATGGCACCAGTTACTACTTTGAATGTGCAAAAAGAAGTTTAAATGGCGCATACACCTGCAGCTGCTGGCTCCACCCACAGCTACACACACACCGGTGAGGGAAGCAGCTTATCCCCGCGGTGGTGTCCGCTGGGTCCTGGGTCCTAGTGCCGGCCTCCAAAAAGCGCTCAGACAGACTTATTTTTAAAACAGGACAGATACAGTGAGAATAATGCGGAGGTGCCGGTGTCCTGCCGAGTTGTGCCGCCCAGCTGTTAATGACGTAATGAATGATGTAATGCAAATCTGCGCATGCGCGTCTCACGGCAGCCGAACAAACCAAGATGGCCGACACAAAGTCCGTGAATTTCTTTAAAAGTTAAAATACGAACGAATTAAGTCACGAATGTCACTTTTAATGCAATTTGAGGCGAGATGTTGATGGTTCCGCGTTGTCACATGTGGGTTTTAAGAGTCAAAGTTTTGTGTAAAGTTTAGTTTAAGCAGTCAACTCTGCCTGTGAAACCACAAAGCTAATGTTATGATAGCAGTCCTCGGCTACGGACGCAGGCCGATGACGCGTCCTGTGGCAACTCTACAGTTTACAACTGGTCTGAACATGTTGATATGGGATTATTAACGATTGTATTGTAATGTATCCATACCGAATAACAAGATTACACATGTTACATTCGATTAATTTTATATTTTTTATGTAGCTACAGAAACACCATCACATTACATATGAACAGAGGACAGTTTAATTATAAATACACATTTCCAACACTACTAATCCCAATAATTTGTGTAGTATACAACCACATGTCAGATAGAGGTATATCTTGCTGTCACACTGTTGTGTTCTGAAATGTTGTTACCTCTGACTTTCCAATATTTTTATTTTAGAACCCTTGTTTGAATAGTAATTAAACATAAATGCATAGATAACCAGGGACTTTGCACCATAGCCTCAAATGTAGAGCAAAACAAAAATTATGATTCTGAAAAGCACAAGGTAAAACAAAGACCAGAAACCACTGTTGCAACATGGTACATTTTATAAAAATACAATTACTCTGACATGTGTGGCCAACACTTTTTTCTATTGATTACATTTATTACATGCTACCAAAGGCGCTTTTTTGTTGGTGCAATCAAAATGTGTGAAGTCGCCGCACATACAACACTGCACCTATCCAAAATAAGTAAACTTTAGTCATTCCAGAAACACATGCTGTAGGGTTATAAGAGGAAAATACCTTTTCATCTCCACTTAAGTGGAAACAACACACACCACAGAAGTCATCTTCACCTACAAATAAACACAATGTTTCAGTCTCAGTTTTGTTGATTAACCCAGGTATAACATTTCAAAAGTAAGGACGATAATAACCTCCTCGCTGAAGCAGCGTACATGCCACTTCCAGACACGCTGCAGCAATACATTTGTAGTTTGTGCACACAGCATCCAAATGGCCCTGGAGGAACCATGCCTCGGCAAACTATATATACAGCTAATAGGACATGTCACTATGCCTTCAAAGAAGAATAAATAATTACAGAATCACCTTTAAAATAAAAATGCCACAACTAGAGGTGTCAATTTGTAGCTGGTGTTTGAGCACACTCCCAGTCCATTGACCACTGCCTCTGTTAGCCTGCCTCAGAAACTTCCTAAAGTGAGATGAACAGTTACAAAACAAGTCTCATGATAACTTTTCAGATAGGACAAACCTCCAGTTTTTGAGGATGTTTGTTTTGTAAAGGCCTCGTTTCCCATGGGGTCAATGAGCAATACTGATTTATCCTCCATGAGGACGACCACTAACACCCAGTGGCCTCCAGTCTTTATGGGGCAGATCCAGTGAACCTCTTCTGGAAATTTCATCTATAAAAAAGTGGAACCAAAAAGTGTTATTGTCTTTGTAACCATATGGGTATGCAAGGAATATTTGGCCCACGGAAATTGGACCTACCTTTGTAAGTGGTTTCATTTGTCCACGCACAGAGGCTTGTGCCCACAACAGCAGAGAGCTGGTGAACAGGTTTCTGCTGAAACAAGACAAATGTAAAGGACACATGTCACCTCTACTTTGTTCACCAGCACACGTAGATCAGAATCAATGACCTGCATTAGAGAAAAACATAATAATACCCATCAGGTCAGAACTTTGTATAATTACAACCTTGCTCCTCAATGCTGGCTTTTTTTACACATGCGTCATGTGACTGCTGCAGGATGATTATTTAAACAAACTGTTTTATGCAGAAAAACATTTATGGGAACTGAGTGTTAAGATTTAGTAAAGACATGAACATCTGACAATTTAAAAATGTACTTTTTAAATGATAATATGTTTGTGTCTTTCTACTGGCCTTGTTTTGTGGTGAAGGAGCGAACTGAATCACTGAGCCTTGTTGGACACTTTCTTGCCTCTTTATGTTGTGGTTGGTCTTTTTGTCCAATCCATCAGTCTGTGGGTGGTACGCAGCGGTGACGCTTCTCTCAATGCCCAGCAGAGAACACAGAGTAACATTGAGCTGAAACAATGAAAATAAAATGAATAAGAAAGTATGAACATTTACCTCATTTACAAATTCCCGCCCTTGATCAGACAGGATACATTTTGGGCACCCCTGTATATTATAAAGCAAAGTCTTTGCCCAACCTCCACAGCCGTCTTAGTTTTTAAATGGGAAAGCCTCTACCTACTTTGAAAAATAATCCGTGGCTGTAAATATGTACTGATAGCCATCAGTAGTTTTGGGGAAGGGCCCCAACAGCTCCCAAACAGCAGACACCTAACAAGCAAACAGGATTTGAATGCATTAATGTACACTGCTGGTTGGATAGGAACAATAAATACAATTACTTTTATTGTTTGGAGTGGTGCAACTGAACCCAGAGGCTTTCCCTCACGTTGACATTGGTCACACTCATAAATCTTAAAAAGAACAGACAGGGAAGGGAATTGTACAGACAAATAAAAGGAAAAAAACATAACATTGTCAATCATCAGTCCTGCCACGCCAGTAAAACCTGGAACAAATGGCAGGTTTTTTTCACGCCAGTGTGGCCTCCCGTGGGTGTAGCATGACACTCTTTTAAATAGTTTCTGTGCCTCGTGTCTTGTTTTAATGGCTCTTCTTTTGTCATGGAACAGCTCACCATCTATAACAACTGAATTATAATAAAACAACAGAAGAACTATAAGACATGTATAACCATAATAGCAAATGCATTATTACCCTTTGCAGTAAATTTATGGGAGTACTTCCTCAAGTTCTGTCTGTCTGAAATGTATTCATTCCCTCAGGATAAATCTTCTCTGTGAGGAGAAGAAACATTTCATCCCATTTATCCTCCATTATGATTATGAAAGACAAAATCTTGGTCAGGTGGACAGGCAAGGGTCAAAAAACGGTGTATCAATCAGTGAGGCGTACACATCAGAGGGGAGGAGACAGAGATTGTGGTCAGGTGGAAATGCAGGAGTGAAAAAACAGTATCAATCAAAAGCAGATGTGAAAACGGGGAAGTGGACAAAAATGGGAGGGAAAGAAAGAGGATCAAGGATGGCTCTGGGGAGAAAAAGAAGATGTTGTTAAATGACCACCAAATAATAATTAAAAGCTGATCAAACATCCACACAAAAATATCTAATTAAAAAAAGATGGAAATCTCTGACTTTGTATTAATATTGACTTCCTTTCACCATTAGATATCAAGAGATAAGATACTATGGAAGAGGATTAGTGATGAGGCTACATCCATGTGAAACAACACACATAAATGAAACGTAATTTATCTTTTTTACTAGTGTGAGATTTCATAACACTTTTAAGTAACTGTTGTTAAAGTTAAACTCATCATTCTATCAATGTGCAGAAGCCAGTACTTTTCCCTTGTTTTGAGTATCTCTGCTGTCTCTACCATCGACAATAAAGCATGTCTTCTGTCTGAATGAAAGACGCGATCCCAGACTTTATCATCTTCTTCACGAGTACATAATGTTACCATCTCTCCACGAGCAAATATTAGAAAATCAATACATTTCGGGAGGGATTATGACCGCGTATTCATTCATACGTTACGCGTGTACGTAAAATGTATCCCCATAATGTAATTTCGAACCCAGGAGTATGGTACAAAGTTGAAGAAGTAATATAATATTCTGTATAGGATTTGGTAGAGTCAGTGAGGTCAGTGAAGTCAACGCGCTCGGTTGCAAACTTTATAATACGTTATACTAATACAAATATATGCCCTTTGTAACGGAGAGCCATACTCACGTGAGTTTTCAGCTTCGGTGAAGAGAAAACAAAGCTGTAGAGTGGCCACAGGACGAGTCATCGGCCTGCGTCCGTAGCCGAGGAATGCTATCATAACATTAGCTTTGTAGTTTCACAGGCGCAGTTGACTGCTTAAACTAAACTTTACACGAAACTTTGACTCTTAAAACCCACATGTGACAACGCGGAACCATCAACATCTCGCCTCAAATTGCATTAAAAGTGACATTCGTGACTTAATTCGTTCGTATTTTAACTTTTAAAGAAATTCACGGACTTTGTGTCGGCCATCTTGGTTTGTTCGGCTGCCGTGAGACACGCATGCGCAGATTTGCATTACATCATTCATTACGTCATTAACAGCTGGGCGTCACAACTCGGCAGGACACCGGCGTGCCAGTGTTTATTCCGCGTGCCCTAGGTTGCCGACCCCTGGA